AAGGGTACACAAAATGTTTTTCTCACTTTGATTCAAATGTTTATTTTCCAGTGGAATGACCCACAACAAGCTTGCACTCTGGGCAGCATATTTATAGTTTAATTTAAAATTAATAAAAATATTCAGTAGAAACAACAGTGAAAATCCTTATAAACAAAACCTCTTGTGTTATTTAAAGGGATAACAACTGTTTGTAAGATATCCATATTTCACAATAAATACAATGTAAATAACTCATAGAAATAAAATAAATTCTAATTTACCTGTAAAACGGCAGTTAACATAATCATTCTGGAATTTGATGATAAAATAACACCCCATGTCAAATGCACCACAGTTTTCTCCTCCCAAAAAGCACCACTTTCACATTAGCCTCTGATCGGCAGTCTCAAGATTATCAATGATAATGTACGTAGCCCTACCTCCATTAGCTGATCCTTGGAATGAGCTGCCAATGGGAACACAGTCTTTGGCAGTAACTTGTGTGTAAGACGTCCCCATGAGAGAGCTGGAGTTCATGAAGATGGCCCAGTTGTTGACTTTAATGCTATCGTCACCAAGTCCCAACACAGCACTGCCCATGAATTTGGAAGTCTCTGTGATTATATAGAATAATGATTTTCACTGACTTTGCAAATATGTTAAACTGGTGAAAGAATTTTTTTGTTAACAAATACTTTTCCCCCACTGTTTTCCTTTGCTGATAATAAAATATTAATATAAATTATAATTCAATTATTAGATAATCAGACATTTCAAAATTATGATCTGTGAAAAGATTGCATCTTTTTAAAAATAAATGACAATGCTTATTTCAGCTTTTTTTAAAAAATAAATGGCAATGCTTCTATAACATTTTAGTTATTATAAGACTTATGAAAAATTGTGTATTGAAATAAATATGAAAGAGTCCCAAACTCCTCTTATTTCTTTAATAATTCAAAATAGAGCACAGATTTAAGCTGTCAGGGTCAAAGGTTATACACACTAGGGATGCAGCCCATCCATGGTTGTGTCAGCTTGCTCTTAACACATGGTCCACCATTGGTGATCTGGTATTGTACGCCCTGCAAGAAAATTATTAAAGATGCATACAATGTCAATTTTTTGTCACAAAAATCAACCAAATACCAGCATATAGTTTCAAGTAGTATAACTAAGAGAATTGCCAAAAGGCATTGTTTAATTTTACCCAAAAATGATGTTTGAACGGAATTTTCTGCTGGCATTCTAAGGTGTATGTCAATGGGGCATAAAAGTTGGTCACGAAAGTAGGTTAAATTTCCAACCAAAAATTAAAAAAAAAGTGCAGTCTAAAGGTCTTTTATGGCAGATAGAGTAATCTATTCAGTTTATCCCTTGGCATGTCGAATTTATTTGAGTCATATTAGAAAATAGTAGAAGTGGTTTACATGTGTTACTGGGAATCCACGCTCCACCGATGCTCGGTTCGTATATGTATCTTTAAGATGACTGATGAGGTTTTTGAAAATAAGTCCATAAATACAACAACAATGAGCTAGTTGGGGACGCTTAAATATTCACCACCTTTTTTCGGTAACTTCATGTAATGTCCTTGTTTATAGTTAGTAATTCCTTATAATCGTTGTGTAAAGTCTAAAGAGGTAAAGAAGTCTTAACCACTGGTATAATATTGTAGTAAAGATCTATCTTACTGCTTTAAAATCCTGTAGCAATTGGAAAGTTCCCTCCTGTTGGTCATAGTACCACTGACCTCTATGAGCCACTTTTTTAAGATTAGCGTCCATGGACAGCTTCATGATTTGCTGAAAAAAGAGAATAAATGGGATGATATTCATAATCTTGAAAGTATTATTGACTAGAATACATTTTGATATATCACCTTATATTTGGACCCCTCTTAACTGGTACAGTGTAGAATAAAAAGGTTTGAATAATTAAATGGTATATATACAATACTAGGTATATTGGAAAACCATTTTAATGAACTGATATATATATAACAAATAAATTTGTGATTAAAAGATGTTAACTGATAGCAGAATAGTTCTTTAATTATATATATATTTTATTATATATATATTATATGTATAATCCCTGAGATAGAATTAACCTCTGTACTTGCTGTATTATGTGAAAAGTTGGGCACGCTGGGGGTTCACGCTAAATTGCAGTCAGCCGAGCGGGCACCATACTAGTAGTTAATTACCCCCTTACAGCTTTTAGTAGGCGGGACAGACGCTTAAGCCGGCCAAGCTGACAGTAATCTAGTGAGATTCCCCACAGGGATAGATCGATCTAAAAATCTATGGAAAATCTATGGGTGTAACCCTAACCTAGCTGTACTAATCGTGTACCCGCAGCTACACCATAATCATATGGGGCCCCCGACTTCCATTCCTGTGACGCCAGCTTTAGCTAGTGAACGGCATCGTCATAAACTTAATGATTAAGGCTACTAGCGAAGCGGAAACGTGAGATTGTTAATATTCGGGTCAATTTTAATGAAAAAAAATATTTGTAAACAATATTTCTTATATAATCTTTATCCTACCGCGGCCCTGTGCCCTTGACCTGCGACGTTCTGTCCCTGGCTTTGAGCGACATTTCCTTCCCATTGCGGCGGTGTACAGCATGGCTGGGGAGGCTGGGACATAGCAGGAACCACGACGATCAAGACGCTGAATACTGCGATGGCGGTCTTCATCTTCATTAAATTCGACTCTTGTCACTGTCAGGAGCGTCGATTCTTAACTGCTGTGGTTATTAGTGTCACCGTTTTTTATAGGTAGAGGTAGTTTCGCAATGCCGGGCAGCTGATCCGTGCTTGTGAACAGAAGGTTAGTCGAGAATGAGTCGGATTTATTTTGAACGCACTGTCAGATCTCGCTTGTTTACCAGTGGAGATAACTGTAACACTACATGCCGGTCTCGTGACTCTGGGCCGTACTCTCCTGACAGCTGCCTCTTTTTCAATGTTTATTTCTCCGAATCGATAAGACTGTTTGGCATTTTGTGTAAATAATTAAATAGAGTTGTTCAAAGTATTACAGGCTTTATATTTAGTTATTGTGTAACATGCCAGTGAGCATGATACAAGCTCTTTATTTGGAGCTATAAAAAATTGGGTACACAAAAGATTAATTGATATTATAAATAATAATTAGATTAATAAATAACGATTTATAGAAATTAAAGCATGATATGACAATGACAGATAATTTTAATTATAAATTTTTTTCAGAAGGTATTATGATTTAAAATACCATGTAAGAAAAAAAGGTGGCAAAAAAGTAGAAATCTTAAAATGGTATTAATTTATATTAGTACATTAATTAATTCTTATATTAGTACATTAACTAATTGTCGCCTTTTTTTTATTCTTTCGCTGATTTTTCCTGGTCATTTCATAGATATCAGTGAGTAATTAAATACGTGAAAAAAAAGAAATAATTACAATATTTTAATATTTACCATATTTATTTTTCAAATTGTAAAACTGCTATATAGAAGCTCGATCTGTGGGGTAAGTGTCATATAAGAAGCTCATGCTATATATTCTAGCACAGGAATATCATATATTGGGCTTCGATGAAAGGGATTGCTTGTCTTTAGTCTGTTGTCATGGTTACCATTCGGGGGAGGGGGGGCAGGCCTACAGTGGAAAAACAAACATAAGTGGTTCTTCTGGAGAGGATAAAAAACAAGTTTTATTCTTCTTTTGCAAGGTCAAGATAAAATGTGTATTTAGATTATTGTAATTAATTTATGCTAATTTATGCATTGATAGAGCATGTCTCTATGGATAACAATTTTTCTTTTAGCCCAAGGAACATTCATCACAAGTTGGACATTTGCACTATAAAATGCAGCATTTGACCCCTCAACAAGCCTCTACTAGTTTCAAAGTATGTACTAGCTGGGATTGTGAGCTACCCTTCAATTGAGGAAATCTATAATTATTTTTTTTATCAAATGAGAAAAAGGCATTGGGTATTGGTATGGTATGTGGAAAATTTTTTATCTAATTGCTCTACTTTAGTCTTCATGTTCAGAAATTGGACAGCTAGACTGTAAAATGGGTGTTTTCTGTGCAAATGTTGGATTTTGAACCAACTATCTTTACTGGAAAAATAGAGCGAGAAAGAGAGTATACTATGTTAGTAATTTGTGGACAGATAGCAGCTCATAATACCAAACACATAACTAAGTTTCAAGAAAATGTTTATTTTTATATAACTGATACATCTTTATATTCAACAAAAATGTATCACTTGTTTCCCCCCAAATTTTCTTATCAAAATATCACAGACAATAGTATTGTTAAAACCTCACTGACAAAGCAAATGTGTCTCTTATGACACTTTTTACACCATTTTGATCTTTTGGGATAATATAATTTGTATAAATCTTGACTGCAAAAAACTTTAACTGCTGATGCAATATTCTTAAAAATAAATTTGCCAGTGCTGCAAGGCAAAATGTGTGGTTTGACTCCAGATATCACTGAATTTAGTTTTTTCCAAGACAGGCTATTCAATTATAAATGTTTCCTTTATTCAAAAATATTTTATGAAAAAAAATTGATTCACTTATATCTATTTCCTTCATCAGCTACCTTTATAATATTCAAATTACATACACAGAAATGTTAAATATGGATTCATTTTTTCTTATCAAACATCAAAGCAGTCAATAATCCTGAATATCAAAAGATATTGTTTCTGGAATGTTTACCACATTGTACTCAGCTGGAATTCAAATTTCAGTGTCACACGATTTTGTAACGGAACAACTGATTGGTCAATTCAGGGACCTTGACCCAGACTGTCACTGGTCAACTCACTTAATTAAGTAAGCAAATACTTGACTTGTACATCCAGTGCTTGTGGATAAAAACTCAATTTTTTTTTCTGGACAATTTTTGTCATAATCTCCATTGCATGATGTTGGCTTTGTCAGTGGTTTCTTAGAGACCCCCCTGCCCAAATCCCCCCCCCCCCCCTCAACCTCCTCAGCTACCTCCCATCATTAGAGCCTGGTAATACTTTCACATTGTGGCAGTTGTTTTGTCTGTTGTTATTTCCCATCTCTTTTTTCACCAACGTCTCTTCAAACTGTTCAAGCATTTCAATCAACGCACGTTTTTTGAAGCGTGAGGCTTCATGAATTACATCTCTAAGAAATGTCAGTTTGAGGTCAAGGTTGCCTTGGATACAGCCGAGATGTTGAAACAATGGGGCATAATCTGGAAAAGAAGAGTTATTACAAGTGAATGAGCAGTGAATAAGCTGCAATCAGAATAACAATGCAGAAAAAAATTTAAATAGTTTAAAGTTCTGTTTAGGTGAACAAAACTTATTTCAAATGAGATTAAAACAACTTCAGAATTCCCTCATGGGCTCCTGTTATCACACTATGGTTAAATGCAAAATACATACTCGTAGCCATCATAATAATACAAACCAATTCACTGTGACAACAGCAAATTATTTATAAAGAAATGCTATCAATTAATTTCCGATTAGTGCAAAAATTATCAAAAGCAAATACATTGTCCAACTTGAAATCTTACTTTTTCCAGGTTGTTTCACTTCCCGAACGACCAATCGTCGTAATTTTTTATTATGCGCTATCGCCTGAGCTTCTTGTTTCTGTTGCTGTAATTTTGACATGGGTGAAAGCCTCCCCCTAAGATTGTCCTCTTCTCCCTGCGATGTGTAACCGTCTAATACTATGGTTGGGGGCGAGAGGGAATTGGTGTCACTGTTCACAGATTCTGTGTCTGAGGCATCAAAGTGATTGTTCATTTCTATTGGTTCAGGAGAGGCATTCTTGATCACATGGTTGTTGTCCTTGGCAATCAGATTGTTGTGATTTGTTTCTGAAGAAACGAAAAATACATCAGGAAAAAATTTAGAACCATTTTGTGAATTCATACTTTTATATATTTAGGAATGCCTTCAAATCGGCCAAGTTTTAGAAGACTTCTCCATGTACTGTGAATACAACACAGACTAATTCAGTAATCACATTACACATCTTTCCAAAAACCAATAAAACACCTGCTTGCAAAAGACATAAAATTGCCGTACTTAAAAAAAAGGAAAATATTAAAAACAGTTAGAATTATAGGCCACTTGAATTCAGAATGTGAAAATGTCACAATTACCTTGTTCTTTGACTTTAGAATCGTCACATTTCTGGGCTTCCATTTGTTGCCCTATGGAGGGGGACCCTGGACGCCATTTTATATCTTTGGGGAGAGGACCTGGATATTGTACAAAATAAAATTTCACTTTACACACAGCTCTTTTTTTCCAAAATAATATGGCTAAATTCAAGATGCCAAATGTGAAAATTAATGCATTTTCCTACACCCTTATTCACCTGTTAACCCAATATAGCACTGCTGTAATCTGCCCTGCATGCAAAAAACAATTTTAATCGCTTATTTGTCAATAAGCTTTTAATACACACAGGTGTTATCAAATTTGACAGAAATGATGAGATGACCTGCATGGGCGACTTTAAAAGTATGTGCCACACAAGCAGTTAGAAAATGTGTGATATAATACTCATAACTCTCTAACCTAGAGACAAACAACACAATGTTAGCTCAACTTCAAAATAAAAGACAAAAGACCCTAATAAATCTTATCCATAAAAATATTTAGAAATCTAATGGATGAACATAATCTATGTTTTGCTGCAGACATGAAAAACAAAAGGGATTAAATTCATTCTTATTTCTTTAACACACTTGTTCCACTCATATACTGGTGCCTTACAGGTCCTTGGTGCTCTTGTAATCATTAAATTACCTTTTCAAACACTTACTTAATTTTATTTTTCAATCAATAATACAGTGCTGTTACTATTTTCTTTGTAATGCAACAAAGAATGTAAGATTTCATGCAGCTGTAATTGGACAGATATAATGTCCAGGATGGATATGTCTAGGACAGACATGATGTCCAGGACGGATATGTCTAGGACAGATATGATGTCCAGGACGGATATGTCTAGGACAGATATGATGTCCAGGACAGATATGCTTAGGACAGATATGATGTCCAGGATGGATACGTCTACGACAGATATGATGTCCAGGATGGATATGTCTACGACAGATATGATGTCCAGGACGGATATGTCTAGGACAGATATGATGTCCAGGATGGATATGTCCAGGACAGATAAAATGTTCAGGACGGACATTACGTCCAGTATGGATACTCACCAGGTTTCCGTCTCTTAGGGCCTGGAGAACTGGGCGGAGATTCTAAGGAACGTTTCATTTTCTGCTGCCCTGGCATTGCCTCATCTGCTTCGTCTATCATTATATTCTGTGGGAAGAACATATATAATGAATAAAATAAAAGAGGATAGATCTAACAGAATAGATACATATGGTCAAACCCCTAGTGACATTATAGCAGTGCTACAGTTAATGGCTACAATATAATGTACTAAAATCTCTCACTCTCTGTATTCACCCCTCTCCCTCTCTCTGTATTTACCCCTATCCATAACCCTTCACCAGGAGTTTCCCCAGGAATTGGAGTACAGGAAGTCCAAAATGTTGATCTGTATTTTGGCCATCAATTTACAGGTAATCTAACTACAAATGTATCATCACCCTCTAAAAAATTCATGTCCAGCTGTATTTGAAAATATAGGCCAGAGGTCATCTAAATGACGGCTGGACAACTCACAGGGAAAACTCTCCACACTTACAAACACCAAGTGGCTGTGACATTTAAGTTAGCCAAATATCCACAAGTAAACCCTAGTTGTACTCACTTTATTAACTTTGAAGGGATTTCCAAACATATGTAACCTGACAGGTTGTGTGTCAATTTCTCTCAGCGGCTGCGGGGCCTTCTTCAGATATTCCTGGTAGTTGCCCATCTCTTGGACTGGTATGCTGTGCATTTGATCTGGAAAAAGAACATGATGTTGACAAATACTGTTAATACAGGGTTCTACTGGAGGGGGG